CATTCCCACTCAGAGGTCTGGCAGAGGAATCGGATGGTCCTGGAGTAGGAATCCCCTGTCCTGATTCGAATCCTGGCTGAACCACAAGGGCACGCTCCAGGCTAGTTACAGCTGTGATCATCATCTCAGAACTGCAGGATTGAAAGGGACCTTATAGATCATCAAGTCCAGCCCCTGTCAAGGAGGCCCAGTGGAGGAACCAAACTCCCAACCTTTGGCTCCGCAGCCGGATGCCTAAACCCTTGAGCTATCCAGCAGTTAAATAATCTTAGAACTGCCGAGCTAGAAGGGATCCTATAGATCATCAAGTCCAGCCCCTGTCAAGGAGGCCCAGTGGAGGAACCAAACTCCCAACCTTTGGCTCCGCAGCCGGATGCCTAAACCCTAACCCTATCCAGCAGTTAAATAATCTTAGAAACTGCCGAGCTAGAAGGGATCCTATAGTTCATCAAGTCCAGCTCCTGTCAAGGAGACCCAGCGGAGGAACCAAACTCCCAACCTTGGGCTCCGCAGTCGGATGCCTAAACCATTGAGCTATCCATTCCCACTCAGAGGTCTGGCAGAGGAATCGGATGGTCCTGGAGTAGGAATCCCCTGATTCGAATCGAATCCTGGCTGAACCACAAGGGCACGCTCCAGGCTAGTTACAGCTGTGATCATCATCTCAGAACTGCAGGATTGAAAGGGACCTTATAGATCATCAAGTCCAGCCCTTGTTAAGGAGGCTCAGGGGGGGATTCGAACTCCCAACCAGAAACCTCAACCCCTGAGCATTTCCATCAATGGTTTCATCAAAGCAAATGCTGGAGGACCCACAATGTACCGGACGCTCTGTGATACATACTCCCAGTAGCTGTGCTGGTTTGGGTTAAGTTTTAACCTTCAAAGTTCCAGTTACATTTAGAGATACTTGACAAACTGGGTAAACACAGGCTTAGAGTCTGAGTTTTGCCGATGTGACATGTGGAGGAAATGTGCTCAGAAACGAGTGTTTTTATTTTTTTTCCTGCTGCTTTCTCTTCTGTGTTGTATTTTGTATTGCATTTATTATTTTATTATTTCCTTACTTAATTTCTTATTATATTTCCTGCCTGGAGACTTCAGGGAGTTGTAGTCCAAGGAAATACAAATACGCACATCTCTAACCGTTGTGCAGCTGGTTGGATAGCTCAGTGACTTAGATCTCTTTCTATGGAGCCTGAGGTTCGGAGTTCGATTCCCACCCCCTGGGAGAAAAGCCAGCCTGGGTAGCCTTGGGCAAGCTGCACAGTCCCAGGGCTCCCCCTAGTGGAAGGGAAGGGTAATACACAGTAGTCCAAGGAAATACAAATACGCACATCTCTAACCGTTGTGCAGCTGGTTGGATAGCTCAGTGACTTAGATCTCTTTCTATGGAGCCTGAGGTTCGGAGTTCGATTCCCACCCCCTGGGAGAAAAGCCAGCCTGGGTAGCCTTGGGCAAGCTGCACAGTCCCAGGGCTCCCCCTAGTGGAAGGGAAGGGTAATACACATCTGAGTACTGTAATCTCTACCTGGAAAATGCTGAAAAAGGGCCACCATAGATCAGAATTGACTTGAGGGGACATGATGACGATTAAAGAATATCAAAAGACACCGGTGAGAAAAGGTGGGCAAATTATGGGCTGTGTAGTCTAGCAACATCTGGGGATGCATTGGTCAACAACACCCACATTTTTTGAAGGGCACTCCACGTTTGCTATTCTGCAGTAGGGATGGTAACCTTTCCTAACCTGAACCCCCCATTCAGAGGGGTTGGACTACATCTCCCATGGCCCACAGCCAAAGGGACGGTCAGATGGGAAACAGAAGCACAACGACCCTTTGGGAGGGGAATCCAGGACAAGCGAGGAGACAGCGAGTGTTAAATTCAAGAATAAGGCAGAAGGAACATGGGCCAGCTTGTGGAAGGGGGTGGGGGAGAGAAAAGTAGGTTAAAGTGTGGGATATTCTGGTGCGCTCACAAAACCTTCAGAGGGTATGGTTGGCACCGTACCAAAGGAGGTGATGCCTCTTCTAGGCTGCCCCTCCCGTCCCGCAAGTATAAATAGTTCCCGTTTGACCTTGATTTCCTGCCGCACGGCGCCGGGAGGAGAAGAAACCACAGCGCATTGAAGGCTGGCCCTCCCTGGATCTACGAGGAGATCCAGGGCCTCACCCCCCTAGACACGGAAGGCGTCTCGGGTTTCGGGATCCTGCGCCAAGCTGGTCGAAGCAGCCCTCCCCTGCACACCGAGCGCTCTCCCTCCCCTACATACCATCTCGGGAGGCCAGGGAGAAACAAGCTGGCCTTTTCCATGGCTGCCCTTCTGCACCCTGGGGGGGGGGGTTCCCCGAAACCCTGGCGG